CATTGTTGTAGCATCTATTTATAAGGAGCCTGGCTACTAGTGTTTATGTTGTTTATCCGATGTGGGAGCGGTAACACTACTTTAGCCCAGCTTATTTTCTATGTTTCCACTGCATCCTCTGTCATCGCCGTTTTTCCTCCGGACAGCAGACAACGCCACTGCCTCCATCGCCGGCGACAGCTTGAGCTCCGTCGACAATGATTCAGTAACATGTCTCTGGTTTATTAATTTTAATTGTATCTATTAATTTATTCTTCTTCATGCAGAGATAATGCTTGCTACTTGTGCTTTCTGGAAGCATGAAACCTGGGTTCTAAAGGGTGAGAATTTATCAAGTTGTTACTCTCAGTTGGGTTTTTCTCCCTCAAATATTTATGTGGACTGGGTTCATTGCCATTAGAGTTTATTGTTTACCTGCCAACTGAATCCCAAAGCTCTCCAGAGAATAACCAGACAACCGTTGCAGTTGGTGAAGACACTGTGCTCTTTTCAGAATGACCACCACGTGTTTGATAGAAGTCCTAGACCAACTCTAAAGTCTATACACCATTCCATGCTTAATTTTATTCATCAGAGCCAAATTGAAGCTCTTAAAGTTTTCCAGAAACAGTTTCAAATGGGTGTCTCAGAGATTGATGAGGTTGCCACCGCGTTAGCTCACAGAGATAATATTTGGGTCTCAGTTACATAGTCTTACTATAAGAAGTGGATTATTTTCTTATATTACCATCCCGAATTCATTGATGAATATATATTGCAAATCTGGACAGTTTAGTCATGCCATGCTTATTTTTGAGGACATGGAGAATCCTGATACTGTTTCATATAATACGTTGCTTTCTGGGTGTGAAAATGGAGGAGATGCATTGTGTTTTGCACATAGAATGCATGCACTTGGGGTTACTTTCGATGCAGTGAGTTATACAACAGCTCTCTCTCATTGTACGACTCAAGAAATGTTCATATTTGGAAGTCAATTGCATTCTTGTGTAATGAAGTCCGAATTGGAATTTGAGGTTTTTATTGGGAATGCACTTGTGACTATGTATTTGAAGTGGGGGAAAATTGTAGAAGCTGAAAGAGTATTTTGTGAAATGCCAAGTAAAGACTTGGTTTCATGGAATGCCCTCCTCTCAGGGTATGCACAAGAAGCAAGGGAGTTATGCATTGGGAGCAATTTTGGAGTTCATTGAAATGGTAAGGGAAGGTATGAAACCAGATCATGTGTCATTAACTAGTGCAGTTTCAGCTTGTGGTCAGCAAAGAGATTTGGAATTTGGGAAGCAGATACATGGTTTTGATATGTTTGGCCGTGCAGGGCGGCTAAACGAGGCTGAACAATTCATGTCCCAAATTCCAGGAGGACCAGGAATCTCTGTACTTCAAAAAGCCTGCTTGGTTCTTGCAGGACTCATGGCAAAGTAGAGATGGCTAGGAGGGTAGGCGAAGCCCTCATTTACGAAGTTTATGGCATTCTATTATATCAATCCCTCTCCCTTATTTTATTAGTCCTATTTACTTGTGCGCCTTGGTTCAAAATAACGACGTTTCTATAAGCTTGTGGACAGTAGACGCGACAAACACCGTTCCGTCCGTCTAATCCCGTTATCTTTTTTAAAACACTTGTGTTTTTGTGTATTATATTAGGAGTTTAATTATGTGTATTCTACTATACAATTATGTACATACGAAACATGAACTTTTTTTTTTTAGAAGTTAACGGTTGAAACGGGATTTGGGCCAGGGCGACCAATGCATTGTGCGCCCTGGTGCATGATATAATTTGCCAAAACAATTGTGAAACCACAACCTTTGCCCATTTATTCTTCTCTAGCCCGACCTTGGCCCATCAATTATCAATCATTATGTTGCGGAATCGTGTCCACCTTGTAAGGTTGATATGGTTCTATGTTCATAATTACTGAATTATATGTTCATAATTATAAAATTATATATTCATAATTTTTGAACTTCATATTCATAATTATTGAACTCTATATTCACAATTACAGAACTCTATGTTCATAATTACTAAACTATATGTTCATAATTATAAAACTATATATTCATAATTTTTGAACTTCATATTCACAATTACTGAACCTCTATATTCATAATTATGTTCACCTCCTCCTCACACAAAAAATAATAATAATAATAATAATAATAATTATATTCACAACTCTATGTTAATAATTATAGAAATATATGTTCATAATTTTTGAACTATATATTCATAATTATGAATAGTTTTGGAACCGTGTCAACCTTGCAAGGTGGACACGGTTCCTCAACATAATTTGCCATCAATTATTCCCTAGCCTCCTCATATCGGCAAATTATGCCGTGCAACCGTCATGGTGCACATGGTTGCAAAACGTCGTCGTTTTGATTAAAAACGATGTCGTCCAACTTTTTAAAAAAATCATTTTCGATTGCCGTTAATGACGTTATGCTGTGCATAATTTGAACTATATATCTAGAATTAATGAACTATAAATCCATAGTTAATGAACTATATATCCACACTGGTTACTGGTACTCTGTTTTGGCTTATGGCAGTTTGATGCGTCTGTGTTTTCAGAATGAATGAACTATATATTCAGAATTATTAAACTATAAATTCAGAATTAGTGAACTATTAATTCAGAATTAATGAACTATATATCAAGAATTAGTGAACTATATATATAGAATTAATGAACTATATATCCAGAATTAGTGAACTATATATCTACATCAGTTATTGGTACTCTGTTGTGGACCATGGTCTAAAAACTGCGCCATTTCTTTAAGTAAAAAATGGTTGTTGTTACAGCTTAACGGAGTCCGTATTTTTTGTGTATTAATTACAAAATGAAACTACAGTGTATCTAAAATGAAACTGCCTCACATATTGTTTTTATATTATCAAATGAAATTGTAATTGAATTGAAATTAAATTTTAGTTGTGTTGAAATGAAACTGCAGTGTATATAAAATGAAACTGAATAACAGTTTCACATATTTGAGTATATATTGTTCATTGAAATTGTAGTTATATCAAAATGATACTGTAGTTGTGGTGTACTGAAACTATAGTGTATATAAAATGAAACTAAATAACAGTTTCACATATTTGATGTATAATATCAAATGAAACTATAGTTATATCAAAATAAACTATAGTTGTGTTTAAATGAAACTACAGTGTATATAAAATGAAACTGAATAACAATTTCACATATTTGAGTGTATATTGTCCAATAAAACTGTAGTTATATTGAAATGATAATGTAGTTGTGTTGTAATGAAACTATAGTTTATATATAAAATGAAACTAAATAACAATTTCACATACCAGGACTATGTGGTCTAATGGTACCCGGGTTGGACTTCCATTTGGAAGATTATGAGTTCAAGCCTGAGTGGAGGCGTTATTGGTTCTTTGTGTTTCAGTAGGTTGAGAAAGTATATGAACAGATATTACACTGTAATAGAGCCAGCAGCTTTCAATAATGTCGAAAGAAACAGGGTTATTTTTTGTGGAACGACACGAAACGGGTGTCGTTTCTTTTCATTAAAAGAACCGGCACCGTTTTGATGTTTGGACTACAATACATTGTAGTAAAATTTGCCCCATCACCTCTTATATATATATATATATATATATTCATTTGTTCTATAACCACATGTCCAAAGTTCGGCAATTTATATCATTGACAAGGGTCTACATAGCATTATGAACCTTAGATCAAAACGACGAGGTACAAAATTTATATTCATAAGGTACTGAATTTCATAACACAAGACACAAAAAAATCACAACACAAGACACATACACATATTATATATTTACTTATTTTTTTAATATATAATTTGTGTTCATAGCCACATAATTTCACAACACAAGACACATAAATTTATAACATAAGACATAATTACTAATTGTTTCTAGGGCTGTTAACGAACCGAACATAAACGAACGGAGGTTGTTCGTGTTCGTTTGTTAAGGAATTTGGAGTGTTCGTGTTCGTGTTCGTTTGTTAAGGTTTTTGAAAATCCTGTTCGTGTTCGTTTGTTAAGCGTTTGTTAGTGTTCGTTAACGTTCGGGAACACGTTCACGAACGTGTTCGTTAACGTTAACGAACATGTTCGCGAACGTGTTTGTTAACGTTCGTAAATACGTTCGCAAACGTGTTCGTTAACATTAACAAACACGTTCACAAACATGTTCATTAATAAGTACGTTCACGAACATATTCATTTACGTTCATTAACACTTAATAAACAAACACCTGCACATGTTGTTGATCACAATTCGTTCGTGAACAATAAATAATCTACGTTCACGAACAATAATCAAACAAACAACACAACTACAAAACTAATATAATATAATATAATATATATGTTTGTGAACATGTTCACGAACATTATTAAACGAACACAAACGAACTTGTTCACGAACATTATTAAACAAATATAAACGAGCTTGTTCACGAACATTAGTAAACGAACACAAACGAGCTTGTTCACGATCTCTTAGCAAACGAGCTTAAAATTGTTCAAGCTCTGTTCGTTTATTAACCGAGCTCTAAATTTTGTTTGTTAATGTTCGTTTACCTTAACAAACGAACATAAACGAACGCTTACCGAACACGAACACGAGTAGTTTGTTGAAAGCTCTGTTCGCTAACACCCCTAATTGTTTCAAGTACATAATTCATAGTCTTAAGGTATAAAATTTCATAAAAAAACACAAAAAAGCTCATAACATAAAACACATACACATGCACTAGAGTTCACAGTGCACTGTGAACTCTAATCAATAGTATAAGGATGGCCAAAGTTCCAAACTTAATGTAAGTTTGTATATATGAAGCGCACAAGAAAAAATACAAATAATACTTTCTCTATCTCATTTTACCAATCATCATAATCATGATAGAGTAAAAATACAAATAATACTTTCTCTATCTCATTTTACCAATCATCATAATCATGATAGAGTAATAGTTCATGAGTAGCAGGATTCGAACCTGCAAGGATAGAGTCCACATGATTTCAAGTCATGCCCGTTAACCACTCCGGCATGCCCACAACCCACAACCATATATTCTAATTAAAAATTTATTTTCTTACTATCGAAAACAAAACTAAGCATTGATGACAAAAGTTTAAGGATCAAACAAGAAAAACAAAAACATGAGTATGTTTTTGGATTACAACTTCTCATATCTGCCCATGTGCTAAAATTAATTACTAAAGACCGTTAATATACAAACTTTTTCAAAAAATTAGACGGAGATTAAAGATTACCATTTTTTTTTTTTTTTTGTGAGGCAGATGAAAGACGGAAGGGAGTCAAGGATTCTTGCTAGCTTTATTTTGAGAATGGAACATCCAGAAGAGTGAGAATGGAGGTTCAGGAGTTCCTTGAGTTTAAAAATGAAACGAAGTGTGTAGAAGACTAAAACAATGTTAGATACATCGTGTCCTAATTAAGGTTTGCAAAATTAGGGTTTCAGGCACCAGAAGCTTCTTAAATCAACTAGGGGTGGATGATTAATTACGGATAAATTAAGGAAAAAAATAATTTCTTATTATAATGAAAATTACATATTCGTGAGTAACAGGATTTGAACCTGTGCAGGCAAAGTCCACATGATTTTTAGTCATGCCTGATAACCACTCCAGCACACCCACAACTCTATTCATTTAATTTTTGTTTTCTATTTTCGTAATGTACACATCCCAAAAACAACAATATTTGTGCTAATTAAATATTATCCATTTTTAACATACTGTGTAGTGAGTAGGGACAATTGATATAAGGGATAAAGGTTAAATAGACCCTCCAATTATATACCAAAATGTAATTAGACTATTGAACTAAAAAAAACCATTATATTTGTTAAAAACGTACAATTAACTAATTTGACATCTCATAACATGTTACCTTTAAGTCACATGCCACACGGATGCCATGTAAGATGCCACATAAATTAAATTAATATATTAAAAATTATTAAAATAATAAATAATAATAAATAAAAATAATAATATTTAAATTAAATTAAAAAAAATAGGCCGCCATAACCGCCACACTCTCCCGATAACTCGCTATAGCCATCATATCATCAGTTGTCAGCAACAACTTTAGTGAATTAGTGAACAAAATCATCATCTGGAGGCTTAGGATTGCAGAAGGTGGAAAGGACTTATATACGTCACTGAAGACAATATTGACTCTTTATACTTCAGTAAGTTGAGAAAAATAGTTATGAACAAATACTGCATTGTAATAGAGTTATCAGTACTAAAAAAAAAAAAAAAAAAAAAAAAAAAAAAAAAAATAGAGGTAAGATTGTGTCCATGATATATGAATGGCAATGGAATAGGATGAGGAGTATGCATACTCTTCCATCCTCGAAGCCCCATCGTGAAAATGAAATCTTTTATCATTTCGTTCTTGAGGGAAGTTTTCATTTTCAATCTCAGCTCTATCATCATTGGTTTATCTCTAGAAAAACTAATAAACTAGTATAATTTAATATTTAAGTAAAAAAGTTCACATATTAAATTTTAAAATTTAAAATATTTAAATTTTCATTAAATGACAATCAAAATGGCAAATATAAATACAAATACTCTACATACAAATAATAAAAACACAAAAAAAAACACAATTACTAAATGCTAGCATATCCCATATTCAAATACAATGTAAATAATTTACCTTCTTAAAAAAAAACAAAAATAAAAAATTAGAATCAATCTAAATTGGTTTACCCCTTTTGTTCCTTTGTTGGTGATGAGTATATGGGACAAATTATTGTGTAGACCATGAATATCAGGTACATTTTTAATATATTAAAGATATATTATTTTTGTGCTGAAGGTATATTATATAAAATATATGTACCCTTAGTATATTAAAAATGTACTTTCAAAAAATGCACCTTACGTACATAAATAATGTAGCTTTAGTATATTAAAAATATACTTTTTATTTATGGTTCGCACAATTGTGTGGACCATGGTACATGTAATAATAATTGAGAATATAGGTTATGGGCTAAGATTTACTAGGCTCTTATTATTGGACTGGATTTGATAGTACAAGTTAGAAGAGGTGAAGGGTCAAGGAAAGAGAGGTGGACCGGCCCTGGAGGGGGTACCACCAGCCAGGGGTGGCCAGCCGAAGGACGTCGCCGGTTGGGGCGCTGGCCCTCGCCGGCGGGTGCGTCGACCACACCCCCATTTCTAGGGGTGGGGCCGGGCGACAGCGCGGACGTGTGTTGTCGTCCGCCGCTGGCCAGTCGGATGAGCTCGTCGGCTGGGGCGCTAGCACCAGTCGGCCGAGCTGTGCCGCAGCACCAGGCGCCCCCATTTCCCAAGGTGGCGCGGTGCTAGGGGGTGTTGCGGAAAGGTGGTGTGGCGGTGTATTGTGATAGGGTGTGGTATGGCACAGCATGGTGCGTGGACGTGGGACACATGGAGAATGGGGAGGGAGTGGATCAAGGGTCGTACATGTGGGCGGTGCAGAGGCATGGGGTTTTGCTATAAATAGGATGTTTTGCCTCTCACTAGAACATCACTATCTAAGCACTACAGACACCCTGGCTTAGTGATCTCTGGTCTATACTCTCAACCCATCCACCTAGGTTAACTCTTGTCACTAGCATAATTAATTAGAGCTCATCCGTTGGGCCATAGTCTTCATATTTGGGCTGTCATTAATACAACTATTTTCCTACCCGTGGACCGAGAGACAAGATTTACCTCGTGTACTACATCTACTTTCATTCACTTTTCTTTACCCAATAAAATGTATACATGTGGTGGAAGTTATATTCAATGGGAGTACATATATCATTTTCCATTATAAATAAGGCACTAATGTACTCTTTAATTTGAATTCTTACTTTATTATTTTTTACCAAATTATAATTTTTTTTTCCCGTAATTTCTTAAAGATTTATATGGAGATAGGCAATATTGTGATCACCCGCCATCCCATCAATACTTGTATTTAATTTTATGAGAATATATGTCAGGACTGCTTCTCCAATTATGGAAATGAGTCTTACATTACAATTTACAAGCACGTTAAATCTTTTGAATTTGAACACGTACAGTTTCTCAGGGAGAAGAATTTCCAACAGAAAATACCACAAATGAAAAGGCCACGGCGATGTTGAGAAGATCAGAGCAGTCCACTTCTTTACAGCCTTGCAGGCCAGCAACGGCCACTGGCCGGCTGAAAATGCCGGCCCCTTATTCTTCCTTCCGCCTCTCGTCAGTTCCGATCCTCAACTGTTTTCTTTCTTCTTCCATTGATTGTTTTACAATTAGTTGAAGACCCATCAGGTGTTTGATGATAAGTCGTAATGATTGTATGAACTATTGATTAAATGTGTTGTTTGACTTTTATTCCCTTTCTTGGCAACCCAATATTTAGGTCATGTGTTTATACATAACCGGCCACCTTAATACAGTTTTCCCAGCAGATCATTGTACAGAAATCCTTCGGTATATCTACTGTCACCAGGTACAGAAATTTTCATGTATTAAGATTTATCTATATAACTATATTTTTTGTGTATAATTTTGCTTTAGTAATGAACATTGACTTTAACATGATCTAGAATGAAGATGGTGGGTGGGGATTACACATTGAAGGACACAGCACTATGTTCTGTACAGCTCTAAGCTATATTTGTATGCGCATTCTTGGAGAAGGAGCAGATGGTGGGGAGAACAATGCTTGTGTTAGAGCAAGGAAATGGATTCTTGACCATGGTACTCTGTCAAGGCAATTCCTTCTTGGGGAAAGACGTGGACAGGCTGGTAGAGATACAAGGCCCCTCCACCTTGCAGCAAAACTCATAATAAATTCTCAGATGGAAAATGGTGACTTCCCCCAACAGGTAAAACTAGAAAAACACATGTAATATCAATACCTGCAATGGATATATGTGTTCAAGTAGCAAACAGTTGAAAAATATATTCCATCTCAACTAAAATTATAAGCTAATAGTGAGACTACATATTTATATTTTATATATAGCATTACTAGCTATGATTTGACGTTCACCTTTTAACGTGGTAGGAAATTAAGGGACTTTTCATGAAGAATTGCATGTTGCACTACTCGGTGTACAGAAACATATATCCGTTGTGGGGTTTGGCAGAGTATCGAAAGAGGGTGTTGTTGTCATCTAAGAAGATCTATGACCATGTTGGATATATTCAACCTTCTTTGGCAGCTAATTAAAGTGAAAAGGGAGAATCTTTACAGAGTTGATTCAAGTTTTAGCATTATGAGAGTGGATAAGTTTATTTGTTTCTTAGCTTATAATGGATGTAAAATGCTATCTAATTACAATGAAAAAAGTTGAAGATAAGATAAATGTGTGTATACTGTAAGTGTACAAATGATACACATGTTCCTTGTATTAGATTGGTTAATTATTTGGGGAGTAGTTTTTTGGACTTGGACTATGGTGATGTTATTTTTGGATAATTTGCTTATGGATTTTGGATTGATTTGGTATTATCTCACATGTTATTGGACGTCTAATTAGTATAGACTCACAAGTGGTATTGAATGTCATTTTATCCATTGTTATTATGTATATTGATTGATTATTGTTGTTTATGTTAGCAAACTTACTTAAGATATTGTTTTAATAAAAATGTTTATTTATTCTCTTAATGCCTAAAGTATGTTTGTAAGTAGTTTTGTCAAATAATTGTCAAAGGGGGAGATTGTAAGTGTACAAATGATACACATTTTCCTTGTATTAGACTGGCTAATTATTTGTCAAAACATAGAATCTGTCTTTACAAGTCTGGACATGCGTCAGAAGCTGCTATAGTTAAGCTTGGATCTACATCAGTCTCTGAGTCAGTGTGTACATCAGTTTGGGAGAAATTTTCTAAGATATTTCAGTTGAGTGGACTGAGTTTTCAGGCAGTTTTTAAATTGAATCGTAGTCCACTTTATGAGGAGTTTCACTAGCTAAAGTTTAGAGTGGATGGTTACAACTCTTACACTATAAAAATGGGTGAAGCTTTGAAGATTGAACACTCTTGCTCTAAATTATTCTACCTTATACGAGTGCTCTAAGAAGGTTATATGTGATCATTACTCAACCTCTATTATTGGTGATATATATATATATATATATATATATATATATATATATATATATATGTTTGTGGTGATTAAAGCTTGAAGGCTTATTGGCTTGCAACGTACCAATTCAAGAGAGATGATGAAGATTGAGCTGATGTGAAGAATTAGGGCCATAGTGTGTATGGACATGTTACTTCAACCCTTGTAATCTTTGGTGATCATCTAGTGGATTGGGTAAACGTTGAATAGCCCCGCAGATGTAGGAGAATTGTTCCGAACTGCGTGATCAATTCTTGTGTCCTGGTTCTTGTTTTTTATTGTCTTTTATTTATTTTATTAATTGTTCTGACTCAAATACAGTAGCTAATCCATATTAAAAATTTGACTAAAATTAAGTAGGAACCTTTAAGTAATCGCTTGCATTCAAGATTCGATCTTTTTCATATACAATATAGCTTAATGATTACTCACATTTCAACAGGTAAAACTGTTAGGAATATAGCGGAATAATGCGGAAGCGAAGAATCGAAAATTGAGAATTATAGAAGTTAAATAATAGGGAAATTATATAAATGAAGAAAATTATATAAATGACAAAATAAGAAGTTGCTAAATTGGGATAAGATATAATAAATATATATATATATTAATCTCAAAACAGAATTACAAATATATATATATATATATATATATATATATATATATATATATATATATATATATATAATCTACGTGAAGAAAGAAAGGAAGGAGAATGAATTCAAATGATATTGATGCATTGATAACAAAGAAACATGAGCTATTTATACAATTGAAAGAATGAGATAAATACGGCATGCTCATTGAGGAAAGGCACCACTTCCGGCGGGACGTGCAATGAGGAGGCTACTGTATGCATGCGACGTGGGTGGACAGCAGCATGTGGTGCATCATGGTGAGTGGAATGGATTTTGAGCCACAGAACTTAATTATTTTCTAACAATCTCCACCTCGGATCAAATCCATTTTGAAATTAACAACTGGAACAGTTGACTAAACTAAAACATTGTTTGAACTTAGCAATAGAAACTAGGAAGAGCCTTAGAATAGCAGGATGAATAACCATCAACCTTCTATGCGACTGAAAGAGCATAAGCAACCATGTTGGTTTCATCATCACTAGCATACCTAGCAGGTTTTTTAATTGTCCTCCTAGAACGATCCATAGCAATGGAATACTCTCACCGTCTCCGGAGTTGGTCCGGAGCCAATTGAGCGGAGAATTTCGATCGGCGGCAAACGTTTTTGAGTTCAGCAGCATCGTTTGTGGTCAGCGGCGGTAGCTTCGAAGTTTCAGCGGTGGTTAGATTTTAATTGCTCGGCTTTGGTGAATGTCCTTGGAGGTAGCGTTAATTTCTTGAAGACAACAACACTATTCTGGTCCCCTTTCTTTTATCTTTAAATTGAGTTCAAATCTGTTTCTTGTAATCATAATTAGTAATTACCTTTTCAACTCCAACTTTGTTTAATTATTAGTGGCAATTTCTCAATATCAATTTTATGAGTATGTATTGTGCTATGTTGCTACGTGGATGATGCATACTTACCATGATAATGCTTAATTCTCATGCCCAATGCTTAATGATGTTGCTGATTGCAATTAGTGATTAACACTTTGATGTCATCTGCCATTTATTGTTAATCATAATGAATTGCTAATTGATTTATGTTTCTAGCCTTCATTCATTTATGTTCGTTTCGTGGTTAATTATTTATCTTTTTATTTTGTTTTCCTCTGCGTTTTATTATCTTACTTGTCTTGTTTAATTAATTTTGATTGTAATTTGGTTCACGTACCTTACATCATTAAGTCAATTACTCTTTTTAAGTTTAATTATGAAATTACAACGTATCAATTCCCTGTGGGTTCGACCCTTGCCTTTACACACTATCACTACATTGACTCGTGCACTTGCGAGGATAATTAAAATTGTCCAACACTTCCCCGGGTTGAGGCCGGAGTACCGGCCGCTGGTGCCTGCGTTGACGACCGGCGAACCTGTGACGTTGACGGAGCTTTCTAACTTTCTCGTTGCCCAGGAGTTCATATGCGCGGAGGATGGTGTGGTAGTCTGGCTGTGCATATGGCGTTGGCTGCTCTTCGTGGTCGCGAGCAGTCTCAGCAGGGTGGTCGTGGTTGGCAAGGACGCGGTCTTGGTGGTCGCGGCATGTCCGGTGGTCTGCGTTGTTAGATTTGTAATGCCCAGGGTCACTTCGCCTTGAACTGTTTTCGGAGGTATGCGGATGCTTCAGGGCCACAGGCGCATGTTGCTTATTCTGGTGATGAAATTGGTTCGGTTGGATCGCATTAATGGTTCCTTGACACTGGTGCCACGAACCATGTCACTCCGGACCCTTCGGTGATGTCCTCTTCTGCTAGCTATCATGGGTCAGACATGCTGCGCGTCGGACGGAACAGATTTGCCTATTGTTAGCGTTTGTTCCTCTTCGGTAGCCACTAGGTCTAGGATTTTAAATTTATCTGGTGTGTTACTTTTTCCTGGTCTTTCTGTTTCATTACTTTCTGTTCAGAAATTTGCTAGGGATAATCATGTTTATTTTGAATTTCACCTGGATTGTTTCTTTGTGAAGGATCTTACAACCAAGGAGGTCCTGCATGAGGAGTTGTTTCGGGTGGTCTTATGCCGTTCAACTGAATCATCGGCCTTCCGTTTAGTACGGAAAAGCCATTTGCATCCAACCACATTCATTTCGGAAATGGTGTACATGCGACAACCACCGGGTTACGAGGATAAAAGCTTCCTAATCATGTGTGTTTTTGGCAGAGGTCTCTCTATGGCCTAAAACAGGCTCCCCGAGCCTGGTTCATTCAACTACATGATTTCTTGGTGCCTGTTGGGTTTTATCCCTCTAAAATTGATGTCTCTCTATTTATCTATTATCATGGTGCTGTGCAACTTTAATTACTTGTATATGTGGATGACATCTTGGTCATGGGTTCTAACCCAACGCGTGTGACTAAGCTAGTGGCGAAGATGGCTGGTGAGTTTAAGGTTCGTGATATGGGCAATCCTTCGTTCTTTCTTGGCATCGAGACATTTCTCATTGGCGACGGTATGCTCTTGTCTCAACAGTGGTATATGAACGACATTTTGAAGCGTGCAGGCATTGTTGATGGCAAGGCTATAACCACGCATGTCTCTCTTGTTCGGTCGGAGGAGGAGTCCGACACGCCATATGCTGATTCAATGCAGTACCGAAGTCTCGTAGGTGTTTTACAATATCTTACGGTAACTCGTCCTGACCTTGCTTTTGTAGTTAATAAGCTTTGTCAGCATATGCATGCACCCACCACGATGCACTGGGGTATGTTGAAGCGAGTGCTACGATATGTTAAAGGTACTGTTCATTATGGTCTTCAGATTAGTAAGTCTCACTCTCTTGACATTCATGGGTTTTCTTATTCGGATTGGGCCGGTGATCCGGGTGATCGTAAGTCTACGAGTGGATTTGCGGTGTTCCTATGTGCTAATTTGGTTTCTTGGGCCTATCGGAAGCAACGTATTGTGGCTTG